GGGGGGTGTAGAAAAAGGCAACAATGAATGAATGGAATTCCAAAATCTCTGTAAATAGATGTTGACTGAAATGAAAAAGAAATAAATTAATTTAAAAAAAGAATATTGCCTTCTTTCAAAGTTTTATCATTTCTAGGCTTTGTTATTTTTTATTTTGTTTTTTAAAAAGCAAATTCTACACAGTTCCTGAGATTTCAAAGAGCCAGAGTGATAACTAAAGAATTTTCTGAAAGTTCAATTTTTCACCAAGCTATAATTTTGTTACAATGTAAGTTTCTACAAACTGATTAAAAACAAGTATTCCAGGGGGGGAACCCCCAATTAATTCTGATCCTTCTAGAATCACTCTATTGATGACCAAGAATTCCCATCTTTAGTATCTAAGTTATGAATGTCATTTAGTGGGTACTCACACACTTAGAAGATATGAAATGATTATATATAATAAAGAAAATTAAAAGGCACTCAGAAATAAAAAATGAGTATTAAAAAACATAAAAAGAAATAAGTTGTTTCTAAAGTCCTCTGTCATTTTAAAGACAATGGAAAAATTAAATTATTAAATTTTCACAATGCCAATGTTTGGTTTCTTGTAAACTGCTGGCAAATGTAAAAGAGAAAGCAAACAAAATAAATAAAATCATGACCATCAAAGTCAGTTCAAAACAATATGCAAATTCTCAGTAGTGTTAGTACAGATATAAAATGATAGGTCAATATTCCCAACAACAAAAATTAAGTGTTTAGGCCATTTCAAAACCAATCCCATGAGGGGAAAAAAACACAGAACATAATTAAGATTTAGCAAGAAAACATGAGTTTCTACTGACAATTAAAATCTTAATTTTCAGGTGAAGGTATTTAAGGTAAATATTAACAACAAGCATTTAACAAAATCAAGAAATGGTTCATATATCAAAAAAAGATGGAAAATATTATTTCATCCTGCATTAATCTCTAATTTGCCAAACACATATCAAATATACAAGTTCTTATATAAAAGAATATGATGTTAAACACAGCAAAGAAGGCGATATTCATCAGTTGAGAATTGTTTAAGCATGATAATTAAAACACTTTTTAATATTCAATCACAAAAACAAAGAAAATTAAGATAATGCTTTTGTAGCTGGGATGAAAACCCCCCATAAACCGGCTTAGAATATACATAAAACTATTCATAATTTTCCTCCAAAATATCTTACTAATAATTTTCTACTAAATATTGTAATGATTTTAAAGATTTACTAATTATTTACATAATTTAATAACAAACAACACATCATTTTACATTCATTACATTACATTAATTCTATGTATAATAAAAGAAGGTATATACCAGTAAACGTACTTGCATCATCCCTTTCTATTCTGGTTCCATCACTAGTTGACACACAAGTAAAGTGTAGGGGTTCAACTTCTAGAAGTCCAGTGAGAGATGTAAAACTACCTTCAGCAGCTGTACAACTACTGACCTTCCCATTACCTAAACAAATTAAAAAAAAAAGACAATTTTTAAAACATGTGAAGATAATCTTTATAACATGTGACAATCATTTTAAAATTGTTGTGTTGTTATGTGCCGTCGAGTCGCCTGCGACTCATAGCGACTCACAACAACAAACAATATTTTAAAATATGTGACGATAATTTATTTTTTAAGATAATATTAAAAACAAGAATTTCCTAATACTGAAGATAAGTATAAATACAAAAAAATTAAATACCAGCTCAACTATAGGTAAATCATAAGAAAAATTTTTGAAACATAAGATATTAATTTCCCTTATACAAAAGGAGGAATTTCATAAAAGCAATTCAGTGACTATTTATAATAATAAAAACCAGAAATGATAGTTTTCTATAATTTTTTTTAAATTGTATTATTTTTACGTGTACCGTCAAATCAGATCTGACTGGTACAGGAGGAGATTGCCCCCTCCATCTCCAGCAGAGCATCTGGTGGATTTGAACTGTATACCTCTGGGATTGCAGGGCAGCACCTTGCCACTAGGCCACCAGAGCTTCCTAGTTTTCTACAATTTTAACATTAAAAATTAATTCAAATCCCAGAGGTGCATGGTTCAAATCCACCAGATGCTCTGCTTGAGAAGGAGGGCCAATCTCCTCCTGTACCAGTCAGATCTGATTTGAAGGTAACAAACAAAAAATAATGAAAAAAAAAAAAATTAAAATTTAATTTCAATAGTCAGTGAATACACTCTATAATGTCAACTGTATAAAACACACTAAAATGATTATACTAAAGCAGTAAAGTATTCGCAAGTGTTATCTCCTGGAAAGAAGTATATCACTTTATAATCATAACATGATCATATGCAATATTCAAAAGCAAAATACAAACAATAAAAATCACACTAAGAACATTAGGGAAGGAAATAACCATTTAAATGTGGATGTGGATGTAGTGTAAGGAAAGGGTTATTCTTATTACTGTCTACATTTTACAGAATTAGCACTGTTACTGAAGAAAAGGAAGCTCTTGTGGTGTACTTGGAAGCAACTGTACTGGCAACCCAAAGGCAGGTGGTGCCAATCCACCAGATGCTGTGAGGGAGAAAGATAGACCATCTTCTGTGCAATTTACAGCCTCTGAAAACCCACTAGAGAGTAAACTCTAAGTTGACTGTGACTTGACAGCAAACAATAACAATACTTGGAAAAAAATAAAACAAGTCGACAAGAGTCGATACACGGCATTGAGTTTATGTCAAATGAACTTAAAAGCATCGTTAAGAACAGATTTTTGGGAGGATATGGAATGATATCAAGGACATCATCCAGCCAGAAAACAAAAGAACGGGGTTGGGAGGGGGAGGGGTTGTGAGAAAAGGCCAAAACAGATGTTAGCAATGGTAGCCATAGTAAAGAAATCAAAAGATAGCCTGCCCTGTGCAAATCCGTTATAGAGGACCTCTTTAGAGGGCTAAAGAGCAAGAATATGACTTTAAAGACTAAAGTATACCCAATTTAAGCCATGGTATTTTCAACTGCTTCATATATATGTGAAAATGGGACAATAAAGAAAGAATATAAAAGAAATTATGGCTTTTCATTGCAGTGTTGGCAAACTGTATTTAACCAATTATGTATGTTGTGTGCCACTGAGTTGGAACCAACACATAGCCGACTTTCCAGTGGAATCTCAGAAGCACAGGAGACTGCTCATCCTTTTCCAAAGAAGGAGCAGATGGAGATTATATATATATGTATATGTATGTATGTATGAATGTGTGTGTGTGTGTGTGTGTGTGTGTGTATATATATATATATAAAACAAATCTACCTTGCAACAAGTGTAGCCAAGGAGCTCTTTAGAAACAAAGATGGTGGAACGTCATTTCATTTACATTAAGCATGTTGTCAGAAAGGAGCAATCTTTCATAAAACACATCATGCTGGGAAAGGTGAGGATCAGCACAAGAGAGAACACTCAACAAGATGGACTGACAAGTGACTGCAACAATGGGACTGAGCATGGCAGAGATCACAAGGATGGCTCAAGACAGGCAAAGGTTCACAAGATCACTACAAGTCATGGTTGACTCAACAACATGTAACAACAACAGGACTATTCATTAAAGAATTAGAAATTAAAAACTAAAATTGGAAAGAACGGGGCAATTACAAAAAATATTATCTTCTAATAGACTAATGGCAAAACTCATCACTTCTTCAATTTCCCCCAAGTGTCAAGCATCAGGAAATTAATATAAAACCCGGGAAATAGAAAAGTAAAAGCACAGGCTCAAGTACTCATGACATGTATTCTATACTAGACAAAGGTTACTAGCAACTAATTATACAATAAAACTTAAAACTGTTTCAGGTTCCACTTACAAGATGTTGAAACACTAATTAAGAAGAGATTTTTAAGTAGGAATCCTAACTCCATTTATGTTTTGTTGTTTTCCATTGAGTTGAAATGACCCAGAGATGACACTTTGGTGGGTTTTCAGAAGCAATTAACTGAATGGAAGGAGATGGCCCATCTCTCTCCCACAGAGCAGCCAGTGGATTTGAACTGCTTGCCTTAACGACTGCAGCACAGCTTCTTACCACTAGGCCACCAGAGCTCCCTAAATTTATGTTGTTTATAATATATAATGTTATTAAAGATAATATGTTTTAAAGTGAGAAAAACTTTTATTTTTATTAAGTTTATTAAGTTACTTAAACTTATTTCTCTCTCTTATTCATACCAATTAGGAATTGATTCCTAGCTAAAGTGCTAGTGGTTTTTCAGAGGCTGTAAAGCAAATAGGAGGGAAAATGTCCCTCTTTCTCCTGGAGAGCTACTGGGGGATTTGACTTGCATGAAGCAACACCTTTGGGTTAGCAGTGCAATTCCCTATGTACTATGATATTAGATCTCCTGAACTATGACAGTAGATCTCCTGAATAAAAATGTAAAAAATTAAAATAAACAGCATACTAATGAAAAATACCCCCCAAAAACCCCTTAATGGAAAGAATGGCAATACTTTATACTTTTGTAAATTTTTTAAAAACTGAATCAACATAGGAGAGTTCTATTTTCCTTTCGTCTTTCAATGTGTTGTTTGACTTGAAGTATATGGGATGTGACACGGATGTGTCAAATGCGTTAATGGTTGGCTACCCAATGTGGACTGAGAGTGGGGTGGAGCTCCCCGACTGAACAAGCGTGGAAGGAGAAGTGGCGTCCACTTCCATAATAGCTTGCCTCCAGAAACCCTATGAACCTGGAGAGAGGATGAAAGGCACCCAAGCATCAAGGACTCTCCCTCATAGGGTCGCTATGAGTCGCCTGCAACTCGACGGCACTTAACAACAACAACAACATATGGGATGAAGAAAATGGAATCAAGTCCAACACAAATATATAATTATGTTTTTAAAAAGAATTTTTTAATAATTTAAGCACTTTTTTATATTTTAATACGTGACTTGCAATGTATTATCTTATTTCTTATAGGTGAGCTCAATGAATACAAATTTTATTATAGTGGATCACTTATTGTATCTTGTATTTAAATGTATCTTTTATATACAGGAGACTCAACTGTCATGCACGGATCATCTGAAAAATGATGGATGCAGCTCTACCAAATATTGCTCAATTCCTTACAAAATATCAGAAATTTGCACACACAAATCAAAACTATCAAAAAGGTTTCTAAGTACTGGGAAGTTAGGAAAAGGTCTTCTGGTTTATGCTTAAAAGCTCCTATTTTTAGCAATGGCAACAAGTATTATTCAACTTTTTTCCTGAAGGAGCAGACCCTTTTCATTAATTTTTGAGGAAATGTCTACCAAATAACCAAAGACTGATTAAAAATCATTGTTGTTGTTTAATGCCATCGAGTCGTAGACGACTCATAGTGACCCTATGAACAAACGGCCTGAGCACTGTTCGTACATAGAGTTTCCGGAGGCAAGCCATTTCGGAAGTGGATGCCGCTCCTGTTTCCAGGCTTGATTTAGTCGGGAAGCTCCAGCCAACACTGTCCACCATGGGTACCCATTACCACGATTGGCACATCACTGTCACAGGCTTCAGCATCACAGCAGATTAGCATTTTAAATTAGTGTTCCGTTAAACAAATAACTGCTTTTCTCAAGACAATCTTTGTATCTCATTATGCAGAATTACTTGATACATATTTACTATAAAAACTATCTTAATTTTTACTGCTCCATAAAAATATCTACAAATTAAACATGTATGTTCTTACTGTATGTGCATGGTAAAGACCATCATTAACACAAACATCAATGCCATGAATAAGGTACATATGGCTCACAAGTTCCCTGAAAGGATTTCAAAACCCCAAGGGGTCTATTGACCAGACTTTAAGAATCAATGTGATAGATAAAGGGGACAAAAGAGGGACAATAGCACAAGATCAAGATCAAGTAGGTGGTAAGGGAAAGCAAGATTACAAGATGACATAAACTATGTTAGAAACAGAGGAGTAAGAAAAGATGTACAGTGATCGAGTTTGCATTCAGAAATAATGCAATAAAATTCACTGCTCTACTATGTAGAGACTACAGTGAAACAAAACAAGAACACAGTGAAATAAGTTAGAAAGCCATGATTAAAGTACATATACAAGATCAGTGTGGTCTGAACTCCAAATGTATGATCAGGACAAGTATGAAAATATGCACATTTGGAATAAATATGGTGATGGAAGAAAAGAGTAAAAAAGTAGCTTCAATTTGGATGACAACAAAGACCTAAGTACTGTGGATGAAATTTACATTTCTGTCTGTACCACTGTATCATTAACTAGAAATGGAACGCTATAGAAAAATAAAAAATTAGGAGTAAAAAAAGAAGAAGAAAAAATTAGGAGTAAAATTAGGAGAAATTCATACACAGATTAAAAGTTCTTCCTTCTTTCTGAATTTTTTTTCATTACTTATTTGCACAAGAAGATTGTGTGATGTATTTGAGGTCCTTATGTCTTGAAGTCATTACATAATGGAAATCACATATACATCCAAGGAGTGAAAGTAAATAAAATTAAAGAAGAGACTAGCAAAGGCAACATGATTACCTTTGTTAGAAATATTAATGAATATATAATAAAGGAGTCTAAATAACTCAGCATCTGAAAAATAATGGAAATGAGGTTTGGACTGAGGAAATTTCACATTGTATTTACAGATAATTATTTCTTGATCTTATCTTATTCTCCATTAAAATTTCCATTCTTCTAAATAAGTAAGAAATTAACATCTCCAAAAGAAATTTTATGTAATGTGGCAATTACTGTGTTTGCAAATAAATTTTCCAACATTAGTTTATTAACAACAGTTCAGCAAAAAGAGTTATTAGATAAAATAAAAATAAAATTGTTACTTTTTGCCAAATTCTATTACATCAAAGTTCTGAGTAAAAATAAAATCTTACTCTAACAGCTGAAATGACAAAGTTTCACACACAAGTATGTATACAAGGAGAATGTAACACTGCACAAAGCTTACTCCTGGAGAATGTAATAGTAGATAAATCAAATATTTTCTATATTGCTATGGTTTATTTAGTCGACATTGTTATTTTTATTGGTGGAAAAGAAATTATCTACCCATATGATAAGTCTAATTGACAAATAATTTTAATGATGAAAATGGAGTAATTACAATCTCTGAAGTCTAGTAAGTCAATATATAAGTCAAGAAAAATTTGGAAACAGCACTACCTGAAAGGACATCTGATAAATCAATTTCGTCTGACTGGACACCAATACTGCTGTTGTATACATTTTTACAAGAAGAGCCACTCATTTCCAAATCAAAGAGAACTGGATCAAATGGTGAACTATATAATCCATATCTGAAAAAGAAAATAATGTCCTAAAAATTTTCCTGTCAGCCATCTAATTAATAAATTATCCATTGAATTAGTTTTAAAAACACGTTAACTAGATTTAACCCATTAAACTAAGGAAGTCTTAGTCTTATTCCCTGCACACTTACACTCCTAATTCATAAATGTGATTACAATGAACTAAGCGACATTGTTATCTATAGGGTAAAGCAAGAAAATAACAGGCATCTCTTCAATCACTACATAAACTTAGCTTGGAAAATACAAATTCTTTGAAAGATTTCATCAGAACTAATGTATCTAATGTAGAAAGACTATTTAAAATACTGGAGATCTCAAATCTGTTCTTTATTTACTTTTATACACAATTGTTTCTTTACATTTTAACATAAGAGAAGTAGATCTTTAATTCACAAAGAATACCAATATAAGTCATTCTTTCATAAACAGACTCCAGGACCTCCAAAATCATGAAAGGGAGTAATAAATAACATAAAGTAATAAAGGGAACACAAAGAAAAAGAAAAACATTATTTAACAATATTCTGAGAAAGGGTACAGCATTAATTAAACATTTTTGCAATAAAAGTGGCATTTAAAAATAATATATATACATACATAGCATATAATTTAATAATTGTCTCTCAAAGTTAACTGAGTAACAAAAAAGGCCATAATTACTTATTAAAACAAAATTATTATATCTAACAAAATACCTTGTCTGAAGTAAAGCTTCCATTGGTGTCAGCCTGTCCTGTAGCTGTCTGGACACAGCAGTAAGCAAAGATGCACAAGCTGTACTGCAGCCAGCCAAATCTTCATCCTTAACATAATTCAGGAGGACAAAGTACCAATACACAGAACCTGAAAGTAATTATTAAAAAGTTAAAATTTCTCTCACTTTTCTCTAAAACAAGACTTAAGATAAACTGAAATATCGTCATATAGTAAGAGTATCACGCTAATTTTTGACATCTAGCTATTTTAATGACCCGAGATGAGATGCATTTTTAGCGCACACGGCAAAGGGAAGAATCAGATACTTCAAACTACATTTTCTAAAAAAAAGATTTCTTTGTACTGAAATTTTCAAAGTGCTGTTGAGAACGGAGTGTTGTTAACTATAGACCAATAAGCTGAAAGGATAAATGTTCCTCTTACATGCAATCAAGTCAGCACTCACTCGTATCTATCCAGAGCTGACCTTAACAAAACAGTGCCTGGTCTTGCCCTTTGCTAACAATTGCTTCCAAACTTAACGTGGTATATTTTAAAATTCTTCTACGAAACTTGAGATGTTCAACAACTAAAGACAACCTAGAATTTAAGAATTTCATCAACAAAAGGACCTTCTATAAACTGTTTCAAACATCAGAGACTATTACAATGGAAAATCAATTTCCACAAGTTCTACTCTACACAGCACAAAACAGAAATTTTAGTCAATTTATGTGTTAAGATAAATAAAATTAATCCTTATTTAACTAAGTTAAAATCCTGAAAAAATAATCATTTACCAATTTTCAACAAGTTTTATTTCTATTATACTAGAACGGTCAAATTCTTGTGAAAGAACGTATCTTACTGAGATAATTATCTTTCTGTACTATTTTAAGGGGTGGAGCGTAGAGAAGCCAAAGCACAAGGAAGTATTGAAGATTTCAAAAAGCAGCACGCAGTGACAAAGTAAAATATTACAAAGAAATGTGCAAGGAGTTGGAGTCAGAAAATCAAAAGGGCAGAACTCGCTCAGCATTTCTTAAGCTCCAGGAACTGAAGAACAAATTCAA